TCACCCATATGAGTTATGTGTAATTTGGAGCTGTTCTGAAGATATTCGGTTAGGTTATATCTAAGTAACGTCTTCCTATGGGCAACGAGTTGAAGGCACAAACTAAACTGTTCATAATTTATTCTTTATGGTACGCCAGCATTCATAACATGTAGCCGAATCACTGTCCCCCAGACATCCACGGTTATATTTTTTATATTTATATCTTTTAAAAGCAAAGCGCTGCGTGTATGACGTCATCTGCGCGCTCGACTGGAGTTGTGAAAGGCAGCCCTGGCCACAGGCGGCTGCGCTCTACCCCTTCTATTCGTTCGGCTAGCTAATCTGAATCGTTCAATTCCATTTGGAGAGCGAGATCATCTGTGGTAGCAGCACTAGACATCTTCCAGGCATGTGAGGAAAACTAGCAGCAGTTCAGCGGACAGGATGAATGAATGGTAGCCGACACGCGCCGTTTTGTTTTTAAAAAATATAACCGCGGATGTCTGGGGGACAGTGATTCGGCTACATGTTATGAATGCTGGCGTACCATAAAGAATAAATTATGAACAGTTTAGATTGTGCCTTCAAGTCGTTGCCATAGGAAGACGTTACCTGGATGTAACCTAACGGAATATCTTCAGAACAGCTCCAAATGATACAAAACTCATATGGGTGAGTAGAACATGATGTAATAATGTAAAATCAAGGGCCCAATGTAAAAAAAAACGGCGTTCCCCTTTAAAGCTGCATGAAGGGCAGAGAAATGAATAAATGATATAAGCAGATGTAACATTTAGTTATTCATCTATGATAAAATTAGAGCATAATATATTCTATTAAACTGTAAAATGCCAAAATAAATCATTTTAATAACTAAAAATAAATTTAAAATGATGTTAAAGAATTCAATCTAATAAATTTATTAATATAAATAATAATATAATTAAAGTGGTTCACTGATTTTTTTGTTTTGTTTACAGAATAAAAAATATCACCATTCCGGGCCTGTAATTATACAAAGCCCCCTCTAGGGGGTGTGCACCCCACCCATTTATATGAATAAATAAAAATAAAGTACTTTTAGAGTGTCACTGCTCTGTTGTATAATTATTTGGAGGTCAGAGGCTAAAATATTTGGGAACCTGCTGATCTACATCAACTTTATAATCTACATACAGCGGAACCAAAAAATTATTTAAATCACTGCAGAAATTTTACCGTAAATCATTTTCATCAATGAAAACGTTTGTTCCTGATTGGACCAAAGCTAATAAGTTATATAAAACGAGGATTGTGTGTTAAAAAGTACATTTTCCTCTGCTTTTATTTTATGCTAAAAGTGTTAAAAAATGAGTCATTTCGAATTGAAAAAAGCTTCCTGAATGGGAAGCGAAACTTCTTCAAACTTGGAAACTAAGTCCAGTGGATTGTTTGTCTTTTTTTTTTATTTTTTGGAATGTTTCATAAAGTATTCAAAACTTTAACAACATTTAGTAAAGTCAGTCAACTCATAAAAGCAATGCAGCTTTTAGGTTAGAAGGCCTCCTTACCATCACCCTTATTTTTTGTCCCTTCACAGACCTGCAGTCAGAGAAGACAGACCTGCTGGATATAATAGTAAATCAGTGGTATGATGAAGAATTTGGGGGTTAAACCAAAGCTGTGTTTATCCAATAAACCTGTAGTTAAAATTTTAGCCTTAATTATCATTTAGAAACTGAAACAGCGGCTTACCAAACGAGTTATCTTTAATAATGACTGTTAGATCGGAGTAAACAGTAAGAGACCTGCTGCTCTTTGCTGCGACACAACGAATAATTTCATGAGAACACGAGAGCTCAAAGAGAACCTGATTCCTTCTGCCTGTTAGCCTTCATCTCTCACCTGATTTTTGTCTTGGGTGACCCCCCCCCCACTGTTTCAGTCGTCTCCCTTCAACCTTCAGCCGGGGTCGTCCGTGTAACGAACACCTGTGTCCTGCAGCTGAACCCATCCTGACGCTCCATTGGCCGGAGACTCTTACAAAGACCCTGAAAACGCTGGGGGGAACAGAGGGTCCCATGGCTCCGTAACCCTAATCAGGGATCTGGTGGCATCTGGGGAAGGTGATCCGGGGGTCAGCGGACCTCCTGAGACTAACGGGGCCTCGGCTCACCGAGGATTCTTTCCCCCCACCCAGACAGTCAGGCTGGACGCACAATTGTCCCTTTATCAAGAGGCGGAGTGATTGGGTTTTGTAAGGATGGACCGTTAGAGACGCTCTCACCTGAGCTGCGCCAGGACGATCTGAAGAAAGCTCAGGACAGAGTTCAGCTCCGACTGACGACACGCTGGCAGCAACCAATCAAAGCCTTCGTTCAGCAGCTTTTCCTCCGACAGGCTGAGGCTGGCGCTCGTCTCGAACACCTCGGCCACACCTTCCAGATAGGAGCCCAGGGGCCCCCACAGGGCCAGTCTGCGAGACACCTCGGTGGTCTTGTTGTAGAACTCCTTGGCTGTCTCGTTAAAGGAGGAGGCCAACCAGCTGGCCTGAGCCCCTCCGTCCAGACCTCTCTCCTATAAACAGAACACCTATGAATTCCCTTCTGGATTAGAAACAATCCTGAAAATCCAGCCTGAGGGTTGGAAAACCCACCTGGAAAAGCAACAGCAGTGAAAGCTGCCCCCTCCAGACCAGCGCCCGGTGTGCAGGGGGGCAGTTAGAGGGCAAGAAGCCCAGCAGCTCGCAGGCTCGGCTGGCCACGTCCTCCAGATCCACCTGCCGCGCCACCACCAGGAAAAGGAGCAGGAAGTTCATGAGACCTCCTTCTGACAGCTCCTGCATCTTCTTGGATGAGAACTTGGAGTAAATCCTGGAAAACAAGCAGCACAAGAACAGGGGCGGCACGGTCAGGGACACAAAGTACAGCCAACCATAAAGTGGAAGGAAAACCAATACAAATCTGAAAAGTGTGGCATGCATTTGCTTTTAGCAGGGTTTTAAATCACCAGCTTAATCAGGAGGACAAACATATTTGTCTGTAACAAATACGCTCTAAGATTCTTTAAGATTCGGGTCTGTACTTCGAGCCTCCAATGGTTTCGGGTCCCAATGATTTAAATGAACATCCATGATATTCAGATGATAGCCTCACCAAGGCTCAGTGAGATATTCTCAGGTTGGGAAATCTTTGCACCTAAAACTGCTCCAGGTTTTCCCTGAAGCTCCTGCGCTGGTTCTTGCCCCTCCTGATGTTTCTCGTTCTCCAATGTTCTTCATCAAAAACTCTGAGTGTAATTTAGATCCATGAAGAGAGGAAGAAGAAATGCTAAATAAAAATAAAAACTATAAATCCTTTTCCATCAACTTGAACCGTCTGCACTAGGGCTGCAACTAACGATTATTTTAAAAATCGATGAATCGGCCGATTATTTTTTCGATTAATCGATGAATCGGACAAAAAATATTTTTTATATTAACCTCTTTATTCCAAAATAAACATTTTAGACAGAACAAACAAGCACACAAGTACAGGTTGCTCATTAACTGTACTGGTGCAATATGAAAAATAAATGTTTGTGTTAAAACTACGCAAACTTACATGAGAAATGTAGCTGTACATCCACAAAATATAGGCTACTTTGTTTCATAAAGCGCAAAAAAAGACATTTTTGTTTTTTAAAGCCCCTAAGGGGTTCAAATGAGTTTTTTTTAGACTAGAAGAGTTCTGCCTTTTAAGACAGGAAAGTATAGCAGTTAAAGTTGCTACTTGAGAAAATACTGAACCATAGAGATAAAAATAGCCCTGTGATTCAAATTATAAATTGTATTTGGAATAAAAATGAGAGAACTAGGGGTGCTAAAAAACACATCCTCCAAAGACAGATATTTACATGGGAATGTGGCAGATAATTAATTGACATATTACTGATCTTGCTGGATTTTATTCTGCTTTACTTCCATAAATTGCAGGATCTTCTTTACTTTATCTTTGCCAGAAGATTTAAACTTTAAAAGCCTTGCCCTCATAATTTGCAAGTTAATTATTTATAAGGTAAATATAAACGCTGCTTAAGCTAATTCAAATGAAATTAAAAGTAAAATAAGTAGCCAACCTTATCACTGTCTGTAACCTACTAACACGGTAAGGAAAGCATCAGATGAGCTACCTGAGAAACTAACGTTACGTTTCCCCACTTTAAAACCAAACAAACATGGTGGTTCCGTGCCATGTTAATTTCTTTTGCAAAAAGTTGCATGTTATCACTTTTTTCACTTTACAAAGCGCAGGCTATTTTAATTATTGTGATCAATTTGCGCTTCATTTGCAGGCTGGATGCTGAGGGTAAACATCCTGCGGCTCTGACTGCAGCGCCGAGAGGGACTCCTGCGGGAGAACGGGGTTGGGATGGGGAGGCGCCCCACGGCAGAGTAGGAACGATACATGCTTTCACTAAGAGTTTTTTTGAAAAATAGTCGCTGGAGGGGTCTGAAAAGTCGCTGAGTTGGCAACAGTGCGCCCTGCGGCGCTGGCTCGCTCTGCCGTATTTTTTTTTTCTTCCCCCGTTTTAGTCAAGTGGATGTGATGACGGCGGCCGCGGATGACGCATTAATCGTGTGACACAACTAATGGATGATAAAATTCGTTGCCAACGCTTTTAAAAATAGATTTTTATCGATTTTATCAATTCGTTGTTGCAGCCCTAGTCTGCACTAAACAATACTTTGCGTTTACCAAGTTAGAGTTAAAGATTAGAGAACGGTACATTCAAGTATGGAGAATGGGAGTGGTTAGGGCATAAATATGGGAGAATTATCCTGCCATAATGCAAGAGCACATAATTTCAATTTGAGAAAAGAATTTCATCTTCTTGCACTCAAAACATGCGCTCTCTCTCAAATATTCTCTCTTCTCTCTCAAATCTTTGTTTCTTCTCTCAGATCTATCTATCTCTCACGTAATTATATATATATATAAATAAATAACACAGCAAAATCCATTGTCATCTTTACCGTTGACAGGCTGCAGCCATGTCCCGAATTCCTCGTTTTCCAGCCACTTTTGTCTAAATTTGCATTTTCCCCATTCTGTAGCTTTTCCTCTGCCTCGCACTTCTTTTCCAAACATACAGCTTTACGATCAACCGGAAGCAGTTCCGTGCAATTATATCGCAATATAATATATCTGTCGAAATTGTTTTTATAAACTTTTTTTAAATTTAAATAATAATTTAATGACTTTTAATGAGCCGCTAAAACCCTGTCACTGCTCCCCGGGCGCCCCACGATGGCAGCCCACTGCTCCCCAATTGGATGGCTTAATTGCAGAGGTTAATGTCTCCAATGTGAGAAATATAAAGTTCAATTATTATCATTATACAGAGAACTGTGTTCCATTATTCATGCAGCAAATATTACATTTGAAATTCAAAGGGAAAAAAGGCGCATTTTGGTAAGTGAAGTGAAAAATAGAAATTAAATCCAAAAAGGAAAATTTTAAAAACTATTTATTTCATAAAATTTTCCCAGCAATGTTGTTGTTTTTCTTTTATTTGGCTTTTTTTATGTTATTTTTTCTAGCTCAGTTTTCATTTCTAATTTTCTTTTTAGATTTAATTTTTTTATTGTTCATTTAATTGTTCATTAAATTTCTGATCCCATTCTTGTCACTTCTGGGGCGAGCCTTTCTCCAGAGTGAGGAGCAGAGTTCCTTTTCTCCTGGTCTGCATGGACATTAGAAACACATCTGTATTGGTCAATGTTTGCATCAATAGCGAGTGTTTGTGTTGGCCTTAAAGTGAAGAAAATGTGACCTGTGATCATTCTGCAAAGAATACAACTCAAAAAACCCAAATTTGAAAAAATACAAATTTTAAATAGAATATAATATATTTCTAGATAAATGAAAATGTACCATTAAGTAAAACAGAAAAAAAACA